AAATTCCTTCATAATAATCAGCAAATCTTTTGGATTGCCAAAGCAAATAACAATTCAAGTTTGTCATTGTTTTGGGCTTTGTCATGTGAGAAAGTCGTGCCAAATGCAGAGATCTTTAACCATTACCCTAAAGACAATTATCCGTTATACGTTTTGTGATGAAGCGAAATCCAAAGCTGAATTCCATTCGAGATGCGAGATGCTGCAGCCAGCCACAAATTGCTGAGCAAATCTATGCAATTTACAGAGCACCACCTCCCTTTAGTTGCCACCCACTCATTACTACAGCTCCACCTCATTATAATGGCATAACATTTTCGAGCTCATTTTTTTAGTTTTCATTTTCCATTTGCCTTGGGGTCTTGTGCACTTTCTGTTTGTGTTTGTTTTTCGCCTTGAAAAATTCAACAAAAAGAGGGAAGCTGTCTTTAAAGCCGAAAGTGTGCCAAGCATGGCCAAAAAAAAGGAGGGATAATGCAGAAATCTTAAGCCCTTAATCGAATTAGTCAGAGTTTTTGGGCTTTCAGTGTGATGAATAACATTATTTTTGTCTTGCCATTAGTTTTGGGTTGTGCAATTTGCAAATGAAAAATCCAGACAGCTACGGAAAATCCTTGGTTACTCTCTGCAACTCTTTGGGAAAGTTTGTGAAAGTTGGCAGTTTAATTAATTTAAAGGAATTTAAATTAAAATGATATTTGTAATTTATGATTGAAATGGGAAAGGTATAGAAAGGGTAAGGATAGCGGACGGAGCCATAAATATTAAAGAAAGCGATTTAAGAATTGTTAAATTGATTATTTCTTATTGGTATACGAATGTCAAGAAGCCAATGATTGCTAAAAGTCTATATATTTCGTTTTCCTCTCAACATCTTAACCTATAATGAAACCCTATATAGAAAAACTTTTCAAATTGAGATAAACTTTATTTATATAATTAAATCTTGGTATATAATTTTTAGACTGCTGTTTTTTCCTGCTAATTTTCCTTTAGAACCCCCTTATTTTGCACTTCCTGTTGCAACAATTAAAATGGTAACTTCATTGTTAACAGATTTGTTTAGTTCGAAAAAATAAAAACTAAACTGGAATGGAATGAAGTCAGATTTGTTTTGTGAGTTTGTGGGGATCTCGCCAGCGGAGCATGAAGACTGCTGCTCTATTTGACCCTTTTTTTCCCCCATTTGCCACGCCCACACACATGCAGTGCCCGCTGCATCAGTTCTAAAGCAAAAAACAATTTAAATAACAACGACATCCAGTTGGTAATGGAGACGAGCCAAGTTTCATATACATAGAGGCCTGGGAATTGGCCACCTTCCCTCTGTCCCTGTTCTCTCCCTCTCTCTCTGTATGTGGAATGTGAAAACCCTTTAACACACTTGTTGCTATGCCAGCCCCCTTTTCCGCCTCTTTCCATCTCTCCAATTGGAGATTACTGGAGCATGCAATTGTCTGTTGTTTGCTGTGTATTGCTGCTGCTGCTGATGTTGCTGCTGCTGCTGTTGCTGCTGCTGCTGATGTTGCTGCTGTTGCTGCTGCTGCTGCTGCAGCTGATTTGAAATGCAGATTTCTTTTGCTTGCTGCGGCGGTTTTATTTCATTACATATAAATAGCACATTGATGAGTTTGGGGGCAAAGGGAGTTGGATGTGACCCCTCTCAGTGCATATATGGTACAGTACAGTGCGTTTCAGGAATGCAATAATGCTAATAAGCAACAATAGGAAAGTTGATCTAACTAGCTTTGTATATATTTAGGTGATTGCAAGTATTATATTCAAATAAGCATTGGAAATCTGAATATATTTAATGCATATGCATATTATGCCCAAAAGCCCTGACTCTGGAGTCAGCAAATAAAAACATTATGCATAAATAATCCAAACACATTCTTATATGTAAAAAACTGAGAAAAATATCCCTTTTTAGTCATAGCTATTTTAATTTTAAAGTGTTTTGGTAAATGCCAAGTTCCTCTACAGATCATGGTATATAGAAAATGTATAGGAAGTCTAGAGACAAATATTCTGTTTTTAACCATAGTTCATTTAATTGTAAAGGGTTTTAGCTAACTCGAGAACTAGAACCTTCATTTCATAATAATATAATAGAAAAGCTATAAGTAGAACTAAAAGGAACTCAATTATTTTGTGTTAAATGGATTAGGCTTAAATGTAAATAGTTTTGTAACTACCTAAATATAAACCTTATAGAACCTTCTACAAGAATTCTTTAGCTAAACAGTTGTGTTGAATCACATCATTAATTACATAGTTAAATGATTTAAATGATTCATTATATTTCTTTAAATCATTGTGTTTTTTCTACAACTTTACTTGCTTACCTGCACTGTTTTTCTATATTTTTAGCCTAGTTCTTGGGCCATGCCAAGCTTTTTACATCCTCCCTCCGTTCCAATTTATATTTGTTGGTTTGGTATGCATTTAAAGCAAAGGGGTTACATTCCTTAACTGGAAAACTTGCAATTGCAATGGCAATTGACATTTCGTTTGTTTGTTGCCAAGCAGAGTAAAGAAGAAAAGTTTTTAGATGCCGAAGTCTGGGCATGGAATGAGGTCGTTATCTCTGGTTCTGCTTCTGCTTCTCCACCTGCTCCCTGTGAATTGTAACGCGCATTTTAATTAGATTCTTAGGTCTTAGAACACTCCGTCTCATGCAAATTAGTTCGGGTCGAGAATGTGGGTAGATTACACTTCACAAGAATCCAATTATGTTTGCAAGGCTAAAGTTGGAAAGGGGAAAAGGGGTTGATTTCCTGAGAATGGGATTTCCATGTGCATTCTATGCCCTTATATGTATATGTAATTACTGTCCCGTTTAGATTGCCATGGAAATTAGCTCGTTGTGCTATCTGTAGAATATTTTATGAAGACTTGATGAAAATTCATTAACAATAATTGATAAGTAATTCTGAAGACATTGGAAAGGTGGCTGGCAGCAGGTGGGAATTTTCTCATATGTCGAGATCATAAAAGGGCTCAACAGGAGTCTGGGAATATGCAAGATTTCCATAAGAAAGCTGTGCTAGTTAGAAGAAGCTTATTTTAGGAAATAATAATTAAAATTACCATATTCACTAAGGAAAACATTGAGTTTTATGAAGAATAGGAAAGGTAACTTACTTTGGAAGCCAAAGTTATATACCCTTGCAGTTTTATATTGAAATATAGGATTTATATTGGAAGTTGATTATAACTAAGCCATATCCATTCTTTTAATATATATTTATTCACAATTTTTTTTAAATCAAAGTTTAAACTCATAACTAGCCAGAAATTATTTAATAGGTTTATAATCTGCACACTCAATTTAAATCGGCTGTTGATGCCGATGAAGAATATATATGATTTATAAAGTCGGAAATGATTCCTTCACTAGGTTTCTAGCTTCCGACTGAAATTATAATACCCTGCAAGGATATAAAAACTTAATAAAATTACTCTATATCCGTCATGTTATATTCCGCTTTAATTATATATGTACATGCTTTAATGTTTTTAATAAATAGCTTGCATTTATTACCAGAGCTCTCGCTTTAAGCGTTTATAAACAATTATTTATTTCCTCTATTTTTGGCCAAAATGAAACCTTTTCATCTACCGAAACTACATATCTACCCGCTGGCTGTGTGTCTCTAATCAATAAATCAAAATCCAAAAAGAAACAGCAACAACAAAATAAAAGCAAATGCATTAATTAACAAGCGTAAAATTGCGCCAAATTGAGTTTTGAGCTGACCACATTTTTGGTTTTCCCTGCAGCAAAAGGAGATACAAAAAAGGCGGCGCCATCGACTGGTTTTGTGGGCGTGGCAGATTGGAAAACCGCAATTGATAATTTACATTGTGGCAAAAGAAAAAAAACAGTCAACACAAACAAACATTTGCAATCAAATTTGATGAAAACTCATATTTTTCTCTCTTTCGGTAATTTGTGTATTTTTCGTTGGCGTGGGCGTGGAAAGTGGGCTAAATGAGATTGCATCATGGTTTTGGTCCAAATAATGGAGGTCAAAACTTCAACAGTGTGCAATTTGAAGTGTAATTGTGTTTTTTCGGGTTTTCTTTAGCTTACTTTCTTGATTTTATTTCAACAGCAAATCAGTGAAGTTAAGAAAAATATATATGTATACCTTAGAGTCTGTTCCTGCTTTAATTAAATTGTCAAGAAAAAATACATATAATTTAGAGTCTGCTATTTCGTTCCTGCTTTTAATTAATATATTTTTTTAATTAACTTTTTGTTGTATTATTTTTTCTACCCATTTAGGTGGGCAAGTTGTGGGTCAAAGTCTTTGAAAAAATGATGTTATAAAAGAAAAAGTAAACCGTGAACATAAAAAATAGGCAAAAATATAAAAAAAAAACAAAGTTATGTGAAAACATGGCTTGGCCAGAGACAAACGGGTTATGCTTGACCAGATATATGTTTTATCCCCCCCAACCCCCTCCTTTTGGTTAATAAATGTGGAAAATGTTAAGTATACCAGAAATTTACAACTGAAAACTGTGTAAAAAGTAAATATAACGAAGGAGGCAAAGGCAGAGGCTCAGGGGGCGGGGCATTGTATAAATAATTTTCTCTAATTAATTGTACAACTTGGGCAGCGTGTGTGTTGGCTAGTGTTAAAGCCGTTAACTCGGGCTTTTCCGCTTTTGGACTTGACTTTTATATACATGTATGAAAAGCGAATGAAAATGTTGATAGCCAGCTAGGTCCAACACTTTGACAACATTTTTCAAATTGCATTTTTTTCGTTTTAGCTCCAGCTAATTTAACGCGCATTTTTCACATGCATTTCTTTAAACTTATCTATATATGTATTTATTTGTGACAACATTTGCAGGATGCCAGCATCTTGGCCGCACCCAGCCACCACCACCACCACCACAATAATATCCACAGTCACATCTATGACTTGCCACAACAATTGCAGCAGCAACACAATCAGCAGCAGCAGCACAACATCAACTAAATGTCGAGGCTGTCATATTGCAGAATCAGGTGGATACATTGCATTGGCAATTGAAACAGGTGAGTGAATGAGACAAGTTAAGAGCTAAGTTGGGGAAAGGTGCAGGCCAAGAAAAACAAAAGACTCAAGGCACGAACGTGACTTGGGGTTCTGAGTTCTCAGCTGGAGGAAACTATGTTAAGTGCCAAGTCAATCTAAGAAAACCAAGAAATAAACAACTTGGCAACCCCCAATCCCCACACCCAACTCTCAACTTCATCTTGATCTGCTTGTCCCTCTTTGGATCAACCTGTTTTCCTGTCTCTGGCTTATTTTTCTCTCTATTTAAATAGTTCTCACGCTTAATTTACTCAAATCGGAATGGAAATGAAAATGTAAGAGATGTAAAGAACGATTCCGTAACAAGACGGAGGTCGCTTGTTATGTCGAGAGTTCTTTGTACACAGTAAAAAAAGAACTCATAAATCGAGGTTGATATAATTATAGAATAGGAATATTGGATATTTGTTAAAATTATTCAATTGGGAAAGACTTTGAAAATAAATTCTATATAGTCTTCATGAGTTCTAAAGAACTTTTCAAATGAAATCGATTTTTCATTGTATTTTCATTATATAGTATATACATCGTTAAGCAGGATATCCAAATAAATACTTTTTTAATTAGGCACTTCTTTTTCATAGTAAAAATCAAATACTATTATTTAATCTCAGTTATTTTCCGTGCATCATTGTAGCCATTTCCTTTCAACATAGTTCCTCTTCGGTTAGGGCAAATGGGGGGAAGTCTTGCCCCATCGCAATTAGGCGGCAGCATTCTCCTCTGACGCTTAATTATAGACTTGGAGTATCTTCTATATACACACATATATTACTTGGTTCTGGTCTCTGGTCATCGCGCTCTTTCATTGTCTTTCGACCATTTCCTTTAACAACAGCTGCATTAATTTTATACTTCCTCACCAAAGGTTGCTAATGGACCTGACGGGTTCTCCTCTATAGTTCCACCATAAAAGTGAGAAGCTTGGTACTGATTCAAACAATTCAGATTGCCATCTATATGGTGTGTAATAATAAGTTGGGCATCAATAAAATGACTTGGGCATTGAGGAAAAATTCTTAAACAACAAGAATTCCAAACAGACGATCGCTTAGATCAAATCGATGAGTAGAATAGAGGCTAAAGAATTTAGAAATTATAGACATACTCATACCGCAAAAATAGGGAAAGGATGATCAAGCTCAAAGTTAAATTGAGACCTAGGAACCTAGTAAATTAGAATTATTATTATTGATTATAGTCTTGAAGGGTTTTATAATTTTTGGAGGAGTTATTTCCTACCTATAGGCTCATATATTTAAAACAAATATTTGAAAAGGAATGTTTGTACATTAAAAAGCTGAAATCATTACACTAATATGGTATATAAAATACTTGAACTTACAAATATTTCTCAAATATTTATTCTTAAAAATTTTCAAAACCCAGTACAGTAGTTGTTCCTAACAGCCTCTCAAGATTTTCCTCAAACACAAAACTAGAGCAGTTCACAGTTTAAAGCCGACTCTGCTCCCAATTTACCGCATCCAACTTTGAACCCAAAAGATGGTCAGTGGGGTTGTGACCTTCAGCATTTTGCGTTTGATATGCTGTGATCTCTCTCCCCTCTAAACACTTTCAATTCGTGGCGAGATTCTCTGTGGAGCAAAAATATTTACGCTTTCATTTCGATTTAATGCGCTTTAAATGAGCCCCAATGAAGTTGTCTTGGGAAAGCCAAGCCGGACGGCGCCGTCGCAGTCTCCGCGTTGCCTTGGAAAATGGCAAAAGAAAACAAAGCAACCAGAAATATAATATAAGAAAAGATAAATATTTTCTGCACTTGGTTTCGTTTGAAAGGAAAACTGGGTTAGAAGGCAGGAAAACCGTACGGAAAACTTTTGCTAGCAACAGAAAAAACTATAAAAACTGTAAAAACTATGCGGGCGTGGGTAGATTGATTGATTGATTGAGCTTAAATCGATGGGCGGAGATGGAATTTAATTTATGCAGCGAAAGGAAACCAAGCCGGGCGAAAATACTTGCATTAAACCGGACCACAGCCTCACCGCCTGATACCCAGGAAATGCGTTGAATGAGAGCGGGGTAGCCAAGCGGATCCAAAATCGAATCCCAATCCGCATCCGAAATTCAAAATCCAAAATCCTCTCAGCTCCAATTGTTCGATGAGCGGGGAAAATGCCGAAACACTTTTAGGCATTAATGAAATTAAACAAGGCATAACAAAATGGAATCGAAATCAAACACAACACACACAACACAGCACAAGTAGCAGCCAGCATATAATTTCCACATAATTTTCAAATAAATCTCAGGCACACGAACACAATTCGGTAATTCGAAATGAAAACCTCTTGCTAGCACGCAGTAGGAAAACTCCGTAAACGGAAAACGTCCAATGAAAAATTAGCAACAATTTCCAAACGTTGCAACTGCAACTGCAACGGCAGCAGCAGCGGCAGCGGCAGCTTACATAATCAGCCAGACAACTATTTTGGCAGCGTGTGAAGCCCCCCAAAATAAATAAAAAAAAAACACATACCAATAGATATGCTCACCCGTTTTGGCCAATTTTCAAATGGCCAAATGGCTTTTTTTTGTGTCGTCTGGGGTGGTGGGCGTGTGCCAGGTGATGGCAATCTTAACGCCTATTTGAGGTCTCTGCCAATTTGGCAAGCTCCACAGACTCTGCTCGAATGGCATTTGATAATTAGACAATTTGGCCAACAGAAGTTAACCAAAGGCGACAGTAACACTTACTCGAGATGGAGATGATGATGTGATGGCACAGAGACCCACACAGCAGCACACACAAAAGCGTTAGAGAAATGCGCGGAGAAAGAGGCGCGATAACAAATCAAGTGAAAGTTTTTTTTATAGGCTGATGATGCTGATGGCTGAGGCTGCTCCACAAATGTTTGTTTGCCGCCAGGCAGATCAAGCAAAATCATATACAATTAACATAAATAATAAATTAAAGTCATCGGTTCAAATGCATTTTTCAGAGTGTCAAAGCAATGACCGGGCACCTGGTCAAGCCACTGGAACCAAGACGACAGTCATGGCTTTTTTTTACTGAACAAGCATAGGAAAACATAAATAAATTATCTAAACCTCTTTGATACAAAAGGTTATATTGAAACCTATGAAAAATATGTGCTAATGCTAGAGAAAACAAGCACACTTTTATGCTAAAAGATATTTAAAAGCAAAAAAACCTAAACCCTTATTAAGACTTATAAATTAAAAACCAAAACTTAACCCAGCTGAATCTATACTCCAACACACTTTCAAAACTAACATCTTCCGCTGCTTTAACCAACTGAAATGAGTAACCCTGAACATCTTCAAATCATCCTAAATTCCAGACCGAAACAAACTGCGAAATGTACCGCGCCGTAATGGAGGAAGTGGCCCGTTTCTTTGAGCGTTACCAACAGCAGCAACAGCTCCAGCAGATCCATCGCAATGGAGAACAAATTGCCAGGTCCAAGAGTCTCCATCATGTCCATGGAGTTGGTAACAATACCTCGCTGCAGAGTGATGCCCGGGATGATGATGCCTCGAGTGCTGGGTCTGCCTCATATCTGCGAGCCCGGAGCAGTACCAATTTGATGTTGAATAAATCGATGCATGCCATGAATGAAGAGCACAATTACGAGACCATTGCGCCAGCTGGAAGCTATAATGCCTTTAAGGACTTTACATGGTGAGAAGACCAAAAAAATTGCATTAAAATGCCTTAATTAATCGAACCATATTTTTAACCCACAAAAAAGGCGTCGCTCACCGAAGAAAACCGGAGCAAATGGTGGCTGCAAGGCGCGTCTATCATCGCCGGAGGCTGCGGAGGAGAAGCTCAATCAGGAGGCCTTCCGTTTGGCCAGGACCATTAGGAATCTGCTGCACACGTCGGAGCAACAGCCGGATCTCACACAGCCACGTCACTCACTGGCCTCCATTGCCTCCTCGCTGCCTTCGGGAAATCATCGCCTGTGCAAGGGAAAAACCAGTTCGGTGATGACACTGCTGACGCCACCATTGCACAACTCCACCAGCATCATGAATGCCACTCTGGAGGCCCCCTCGTCAGCTGCTAAATCCAATGCAGAGCTTATCTTTTTGCGGGCCAACAATATGAGGGATTCGAGGCTCTCGCTACGCAGTTCCACCGACAGTTCCGTCCATTCCACCATCTCTCGACGGCATCCTCTTCCTCCAAGGTGGAGACGGATGAGGAGACCCAGAGCAATGGCAACAGCAAAGCCACAACCACCGCCAGCAATGCGCCATGAGCAACATGAAAACCAGTAACAGCAATAAGCAGAGCGGTTCCAGCACGGAAGATGAGAGCGGCTTCAGTTCCATCAGCTCCTTTCATGACGTTGGCTGCCATTGAGCTCCACTCTAATGAATGGCACCGCCCAGCGACGCCTTTCCATGTGCTCCGACAGCCGCAACTCAACGCTAAATCGGGCTTGAATGTGCTCGGACTGCCCCTTCAGTCCCAGACTCAGGTTCAAGTGCAGGTTCAGGCTCAGATTACGGCCAGTCAGTCGCCGTCGAAAACTTATCGCAATGCGAATCGCTATCAGCGATTTTCGACTCTATCAAACGAAGATGCAGCTGCCGTTCTGTGGGTTTAGGCGGTCCCACAAGAACTCTTTTCGAAAAGCCGCCCAGAAATGCATTTGAAAACTGGATTTGAAACCAACATTTTTTAAGTTGTATACCCCACGTAGGATTTTAATTTTGTTTTTCTCTAGTGCCTTCGCTTAAGTTAAAGTTTTAGTTAACATCACTTCTGAAACAGTGTATAATTTTCAACTTGTTTATATATCGTTTAGTTTTTGTAAGGACCAAAAATGCGCATTTTTTATGTTAATAACCAGAAGATACTTATCTATGTGTACATTTCAGTTGCTCTAAGTTTTTCAGTATTTATAAATCAATAAACATAACTTATACGATATTCAGTTGGCATTGAATAAGCCTTCACAGTTCAGCTGAGAGTGTCATTGTTAGACTTTCTGCCTCCCGTTTCGATACGTTTCTCTTTCACTCTTGGAAAAATGTGCTAAAGTAGAATCTTTTGGTATTCTTGTAAGTAATTCTCACTCGAGTCGCGACCAAATTCGTTGAGACCACACAGCCGCCAACAAGTATAAATTGAACTATTCTGTTTGTGTACCGCAAGAAGTAAAACCAAAAACTGCAAACTATGGCCACCGCACAAGAACAAAAATGCGAGATCTCCAATGTGAATGAGTTGGTCGAGGTGCCTGCTCAGCCATTGCAGATGGAGCAGGGGCAAGAGAATCCTGAGAATCTTGAGAATCCAGAAAACCAGGATTCTCTCGAGGAGGCCATATACGAAGTACAGTACCAACATCCTTTGGAGCATGTGTGGACTTTATGGTATTTAGAAAACGATCGCACCAAACACTGGAAGGACATGCTGAACGAGATCACCCAAATTGACAGCGTAAAGACCTTCTGGAGCTTGTATAACACCATCAAAACGCCATCAGAGTTGAAGACGGGATGCGACTACTCCATGTTCAAAACGGGCATAAAGTACGAAGAGTTCCTTGCAAATGTAAGATATCCTTTTAATGATTACCTCTCCTCCCTAAGACCCATGTGGGAAGATGAGGCCAATATCAAGGGTGGTCGCTGGCTGCTCACATTTGGCAAGAGTTCCAAGTCAGAGCTCGATCGCATTTGGCTGGACATTCTGCTGATGATGGTGGGCCAAACCTTTGACTATTCCGATGAGATTTGCGGCGCTGTGACCAACATACGCGCCAAGACCAATAAGATCTGTAGGTTTCTGCTCTCGGCACAATCATTACCCTTTCTAATTGATTCCTAATTTCATAATTCCAATTGTAGCTGTGTGGACAGCCGATGGATCCAACGAGCCTGCATTCTTGAGATTGGCCACAAGCTAAGGACCATCTTGCGTTTGAAATCCCACATCCTGCAGTACCAACTGCACTCGGATGCCATGAACAAGGCCAACTCGGGCGTCAGATCGGTTTACACTATCTGAACGATGAGTGGATGCGGAGGTCCTCTACGTTGTTATTTTTTTCTAGTTTTTTATACACCAGATTCGTATGTGAGGAAGATTATAAATATTTGAGGATTGCAAGGAGATGCGCCTGCTAAAAATTGTTGTTTGAGACTAAATTAAAGATCGAAATTCCAGTGGTATCTTATGGGCTGAGAAAAGAAGTCCATCGATTTTAAAATGTTTTTTTAATCGTGATTCCATACATATACATTACATTAACTTAAACATCATCATGCTTTGAATGCCCTACGGCTTAGGGCCGTAAATTGCCTACTCAAGCAAAATCGTTGAGTTGTAATCAATATAGTAAGATAGGTTTTTAAAAATTTACTCAGTAAACATTCACAGCTTGTTGCGGTGTGGCGATCAACGGAAACCCATTCGAACCGATCGATCGATCGATCACTGAACGCGTGAATATGCGATCTCTGCGATCACTTACGACGATTTAAGTTACATTTAGCGGCGCGACGCGGTTACACGGGAGTTACACAATATGGAGAACTATTTACAAATCATGATGGTCAATCGATTGCCGCTCGCATTGAACGCTTCAACATTCGCGCGGGCAGCTCCACATCGGACAGGAGATGCAACTTAACAATAACTTTTTGTAATTCTAAACAATATTGGACGCGTGATAGGTTTTGTTTCTGATTGTTGTTTTTGTGAGATTACGAATTCGAAGGCCCGATTGATCGCACTGCAAACGAGTCTCTCGCTTCTGAAGGACGACGACCTCAGAAATGGAATAAACAAATTGGCTGCACCTATTCAGTGCTAAACTTCAAATGCGGCCAACAACGGCCTTGTTTTTCCGCGTGGGTTGCACAGAGAGCGGTGGCACCACCAGCATCTCGGATTGCGTCGATGGGGAACTGCTGCGCATGCTGGCACAATCCTCATCGTCCACCTCCTGCAAAAATTGTAATATTAATTATAATATTTATTGCATTAAATATAATGTTCTTACATTTATGTTTGTGCAGCTGGCCAGGCGCATCTGGGCCAGTTGAGAGGCTGGCGTCAGCGAATTAGTGCTGCCAAATGGCGAGGTCATCATCGTGGAGACGGCCCGTTTCAGTTTGTTGGGCGTTTTGTTGAAAGAGAAGGCGCGACCCACCTGAGGATAAAATAAATTAGTGCCATTAGAGGGATTTTCTCAGGTTAAATGCGGTATTTAAATTCCCACCTTGAGGCGCGTTTTGGCGGCCAATTTAAAAGCCTTGCTCAGCGTACTGACATTTACATCGCTAATGTCCACCTCCAGTTCCTGGGAGGTACGCAAATCAATAGCTTGTCCTACAAGAATACAAAATTTAATTAGAAATTGAATTTACAAATATTTTCAAAGCAGGATTGAATCTCTCCTTAAATACTTACCGCATCCGTACGGCATGTATGGGCTGCAATCTGGTTGCACAGCTTTTTCACATAAACGGACTTATCCGTCTCCTCGTCGCTGATGGTGAACGTATACAGCTTTTCCTTATCGCCACGCTGCAGCAGGCCAAAGGCACGCGGACTGTCGGAGATGTCGATCACCAGCCGTATCGTGTTGAGGGATATCAGCTTGAGATGCTTGTGCGTCTTGGCTGTGCTCGGTGACTTGGCGGTGTTAAATCCTCTCGACCGTCGCTTGCACAGCTCAATGGAATCGGAGAAGAGATAGAGGACAAGGCTATCGCCACGACCACTCAGCGAGTCGGAGAGCTCGTTCACTTCACACTTGAGATGAAGCTGCGATTGGAGCTCACCAAGTGCGCTGGACAACCGTCGATATCGTTGAATATATCGAAGATGGCCATGCGTGACTCGGTGCGTCGTTTATCCTCATTAATGTGCAGCGTCACCTGCTTGATGGCCTTCAGTGCCTCCTCCAGTCGCCCGTGATCGGCATTGCTGCCACTCGTGTGCTTCAGGATGTCGTTCAACAGCAGACTGATGCTGGGCAATCGCTGTACGGGTCGGATCATCAGATCCTGCAGACCTTGGCGTCCACACTCTGGCTTCGTTTGGTTGATTTTGAGGAAGGCGTGGAAGCGGGGATATTCCCGATCGCAGTATTGCAGCTGCTCCTTCATTTGTTCAAAGAAATTCACGTATGGAGGGTATGCCTTGATCAATTCGTCCCGATGCTGGATAATGATGTCGCCGATAAGGCAATCCTCTCGCCAATTAGCATGCAGCTTGCGCAAGTGCTCCAGCATGCTTTGATGCACCTCATGGATGGGCAAAAAGTTGCCAAAGATTGTCTTAATCTCGGACTTGTTGAGAAGCGGATCATTGGTCTCGGCCAATTCCTCCAGTTTGTTCTTAAAGAGCTGTTTATAGGGAAAGATTTATAAGTTAGAAGTATCAAAGGCAAGGGTATATATCAACTTACATTCAATATGGTATCCAAAATACCCACATAGTTGGACTCGGTGGTGAAAAAGTCCATAAAGTGGTTAAAGCGCATGGATTTCTTGGCTGGTGTGGTGGCATCACTGGCCTCCGGCTCGGCATGCAGCAATTTATCGGCCGCCTCCAGCTTATCCGGGCTGGTGGTGCAATCAAAGAAGCTATTCGAGACGGATAGCAGGCCGGCATCCGAGACGGAGGAGCGTCGCTTGCCCGAGGTGCCCAGCGGAGTGCCCTCCAGCTGGATGCGTTGCGAGAAACGCTTGCGTTTCCGCTTATTAAAGCTAATGGGTAACGAGTCTCGGCGATCCGTATTGGGGGTATTCGTGATGCTATCCAGGTACTGAAATTAAGACAAAGGATTAATATTGTATTCGAAAATGTTATCTTGTATCTACTTACATCGCCGAAGAGATAGTCCATCTCGTTGGCATACCCATTCTGTATGGTATACCAGAACCAGTCTGATTTCAGGATGTGCGTGTGATTATTCTTCGGCTCCGGCTTCGTGACGGTCGTATGCTCGTCCACCACCTGAATGGCACAATAAATCGGAGACGATTAATACACCTTATTTCAGCGTTTAAATTGTGCAGAATGGATAAAAAATGTTTTGTTTGCAGCCCAATTTTAGATTATATTCAGTCGTCAACCATGCGTCTATATAGATAGGTGATTTATATATATAGATATAGCCAGAGAGATGTTATGGAAAGCCAGCACAGCGAGCACAATAAATTTTGGAAAATCATTCGTCAAAAATGCAAAAAGAAGGCCAAACAAAACATTTTTAGTGCACATTTTTTCGGGTAACAACAGCACTTTGAAACGGCAAACGGGACGAGAGGCAAAAAGTGAGGTGAAGCTACGGAACATGAATGCAAAAAAGTGGCTAAGAAACATTTGTGCAAATATATTTGGTTAGTCCATCGACAACATGATAAATATTTCACCTAAAATGCAGAGGAATTCCGATATGTTCGAGGTTTGCTCGATTCTATTCTGTCCTCCAATTTGTTATTGTTTCAATTTATTTACGTATAATATCTACGTTGTTTTCGAGTTGGCATTTTTAACATTTATTCAAGCTGAACGAAAAAGTCTATAACCGAATTCTGTGTGTGGTGTTTTGGGTGTTGCAAATAAATGTTATTCCAATATTTATTGTGCTGCTTTTTGTTTAATTTGTTATTATTACGAATCTTGTGCTCCGGCCAAAAATACAAAAAAAAATAGAGTAGAGGAAACCAAAGTTATTTACAAAAGTGGGATAGAGAATGTGAAATTCCAGACACCGCACCAAATTAGAACTAAGCTATAGCATATAACATTAAATAACAATTAACAAAAATAACTTGGGGATGGAGGGAGAGGAGGCTGGATGGCGGATGGATGTGGCGGCGGGAAGAGTGACACAAATCGCTTAGCAATACAGCAACTGAAAAAATGTTAAAAATGCTCGAGAACACAGTTTGACATGGAAACACATATATGATTTTTGTCCTAAAAACAAATGCTTGAAATAATAATAATAATGGATAATGGAATGAAAAATGATAAAATTAAGATTAAATGATAAATAGAAGCCTGTTTCATTAAGATTAACTGAGTATCTTAGCACTATTTTACATAATATTACTAAATAGTTTTTAGCAACATAAAGAGCATTGTTGGACATCAAGTTAAACAAAACAATAATTTTATCGACGATAATATCTCCTAAGCTTGTCCTCACTATGTGGTTTTTGTGCTTTCAGCATATCTTTCACAAATAATCTTGTAATCAAATTATCATCTAAAGTAAAAAGAGACCCTAAAAACTTGACTCTCCTTTGCCGTTTCAAAGTCTGCTTTTCCCCGGGGAAAACCACACATATCCTTTAGCAAAAACACTTTCAAAAGTACCATTTGGTGGGTTTCTTCTGTGGCGAGAACGGTATTGTTCGCCCCACTGTCGACGTCTCTTCTGATGTCTTAGTTACTTGCACCGAGCTATGTACAGCGATCGACAATGTGGGAGATGACATCAATGATGATGATGATGATGATGATGGAGGAGGAGGTATGGCAGCAGCACAGTAAGCAAATGTATTGGTGGAGGTGATATAGAGGTGTCGTGGACATCCAAACTGGCATTCGGATTGGGATTTGGTGTGGGAGTGGGTGTGGAGGGATTAGTAGTTAGGGTCAAAGCAGAAACAACGCCGGAGACGGGGCCGAAGAGTCGCTTGCCGGTCTTGGGCGTGGCCGTGGATCGGGGCTTGGGTGCCTTGGGGTCTTGAAACCGCTGTCCAGTATTCCCGTACAATCCGGAGTGCCATCGCCACCTGCTCGTTCAGTTCTGCGACTGCTGCTCCTCGTTATCCTGCCGCAAAAGCTGCGTAACTTTTCCTTAACCGGCTTCTTATGATTCATTCAGGGTTAGATTAATGGACGAGGCCAGGGAGCAAATGGAGTCATCAGCAGCTGCCTCGCTGCCCAAGAAGGTGGATGCATCTGCCACAGAGCTTCTTCGAGGTCTTAACGTCTTCATCAGTGGTTCAGCCACGAAGCTCACGGATCGTCGCAGGGTCCTCGATATGGAACCCGTGCGAATGAGCTTCGGTTTTTTGGTGCTTGTCGGAAGGGCAAAGGAATCGACTGACATTAGTGACACATTGTCCAAGCTATCGCGCTTGCGTTTCAGATCATTCTCCGTGACTGGCAGATCATCCTCTGTCTCCAGGTCACACTCATTGATGGCCTTCAGGATGGGGGAAATGTTTTGAGTTGTGCCCTCGAAGTCCAGAACGATGCCATCCATTTCGGGGGAACTTAGAGGAGTGGCAGCATTTAAAATAATTTTGATTTTGCTGGTTTTCGGTGTGCTGGCCTGCACATCCTCCTCATTGTCCTCTTTTTCCACTGGTGACTTCTGCTCCACCACTCTAGCTCCTCATCATCCGATTCAGGCAACTGATCATCGTTTGGATTTCCAATGTCTGCTGCCTCTACAAAGAGGCGCTCGTCAAAGTGTATTCATCTTCGTCTTCATCAGGCCTGGTGGTTCTCCTTCTGCTCCTGCTCATGATCCATATCCACTGGCAGTCCCCTGTCCGTCTCGGACAGTTCTTCCATCTTGATTTCAGCTTTTTGCTGACCTTCTCCAGCCGCCTTCGTCGCACTGCTGCTTGGGGTTTGGGATTGGGTTTGGGATTCGGATGGGTTAGTTGGGGTGCTAGTTGCTTTATTAGTATCTGTGCTAGTGCTAGTGCTTGTGAATACTGCGCCCGTATTGGGCATCACCTGGAAGACACACGTATTAGGTTTTTTGTGGGTTAAGAATCAGCCGTTCGAGGCGGCCATAAAAACTAGAAGCTTGCCAAAAACAAAAGCATGCAAACTACAAAACTCTAAACTATCCAAAAAGCTGGCATTTAGGCATTTAGAGCATTTGAAAGGGCAGACTCACGACATGTGAACACTCCGGATCCTCCAGTTCGGCGCAAACGCCTCCATTCTCCAGCAGGACATCCACCATATGCTGGTGCTCCTCAGCCGGGAAGCCGAAAAAGCAAATCTTCTGTCCCTCGAAGGCCTTTAGCCTATGTGTTTTGGTGAAGACCTCCTGTGTAGCGTCGAATTCCAGGGAATTCCGATCCGACCAGGCGGCATACACCCAAGCAGGACGAACCACGGTTAACCGAAAGGTTTTGGCGTACCTGCAGAGGTAAGAGGTTGGATTATTAATATCACTTTAATAACTAAAGAAGTATTTAATGATAGAAACTCACTGATACTTTTCGCCGCCACTGTGATTGCAAATCAAATGCGTAGTCTTCGTGTTCAAATCCTTCTTGATGCAGCCGCCCATCGAGTGTATGAGGTTAACCAGCTTGGTCTAGGGAACATAGAAGAGAGTATTTAGTATCTGCTATGAGGAGCAATCGTTGCATCCACTCACCAGCTCATCCTTTTTGCGTATGCCGGTGAAGCAAGTGACCACTCCGCGCATCGCATAGTTGTAAATGGGACGCGAGTTCTGGCCCAGAGTCTGTTTCATCTCCGCCGCGTACTTCAAAGCCGGCGGTCCCAGAATGCTGCAAGTGAGGAGACGGGAGAGGCAATTAAATATTTATGTGGCACACTTTTGAGTTATGCAAGGCAATCTGGTCTGGTCTGGTCTTTTATGCCCCAATTGACCTTGGCAGTTGTTGCACTGGCCATAATGCAATTCGAATTTCTGCTGAAGCATCGTCGGTGTCTTTAACCGACAGCATTCCAAAAGCAACTGACGCGAATTCATCTCAATTGCCAAGCCAGTGCAGCGATACTGTTCCGCTTTATTGAACTTTGAACCGTCTGACTAAGGGCTCTTTTGTTTACACACAACACCGGACATCGACAGCTGTTGGACGACAGGCAGGCGCCAGCCCATCCTCAACCCAAGCCCGGGGGAAAAGCCGGAAGCTCCTGTAAACAAATCAATCGAGCGGAAGCTGACTGCAGCCTGACACATCGAGCACATTGTTTTTGCCACATTTCGTATCCACTTTTGTGGGCGTCGCGTAGAGGCATGTATTTATGGTACATTTATTTATTTATGCCCCTCATCAGGCGTAATTATGAACGGAATTAAAAAACACAAATTGCGGTGCCGCAGCCCTCGGAAAATGATCTTGAATGAGTGATTTTTTGGGTGAAGTATCTCTTTTTTGGGATGTCTTAAATCCTAACAGGAAAATCTCTGAGATAAAGGGATTTAAAGTGGAATCTACTTGGAATAACTTCTTGATTTCATTATATTGAACCACTGAATTGCATTATGAGCACAAGTAGTTAAGAATTTTATTTATATATTTCACATTTACCATAGTTTTAATAGCTGATCCAGTCTTTTGTCTTTTAGAAGCTTAAAGTTGAAGGTTTCTGTGCTTTTGATATCCATATTTGTCTTCTGTCGTTCTGCAAGCACTATCTTCTCTAATGGTTTCTCCCCTAGTCATATTTTCACTTGATCTTTCACTTTCAAAGACTTTTCTCAGGTTGACTTCCTGTTGTTTATCTCACTTTCACTCCTCCTCGTCATATCACTTTACATCTGCATTTACATTTGCAGTCAGTCAGAAAACACATTTAGTCTTCTCCTGGCTGTTGGGTTGGTGTTAGGAATTTCCTTACCAACAAAGGAACATTTCCATATGCTCAAATATTTGTCGCGGGCACACAAAACGATTTCATCCGATTCAGAGACACAAGAATATGGAATATGGAATATGGAATATATAGCCAGCTAGAGCGACAAGAGTTTATGATTCTATCCGGGCAACTAAACAAACACAACTGCCAGAGCTCGTTGCTTGGGAAAATTATTGAATAAGCGATGGGGCGGCAGTGAGCGGCGAATGGAAAATGGAAATAGAAAATGCCTGACATGCCAGGCGGTCGAGTCCACCACCACCACCACCCCCTTGGCTTTCTTCTAGCTGCCCCGCTGCTTTCTGGCTGTTCTCTCCTCATCACTTAATTGTGGCACATAAGTGGCAAAATGCTACCCAGGCGTGATATATTCCTCTATAAGCAGTGCAAACATCTCTTTTCTTCTCAACCCGGAGAATGTGAGATATACAGAGAGAAAACGAGAGGAATTTGGTAATCTCATCGTAAAAACAAGATAAGGAAACTAACTTCGGGGTTCCTAGTTGCAGTTTGCAATTGAATTTGGGATCAAATCAGAAATCGATCATATCTACGCTTCAAATATTCGCAATCTTTGAATATATATATACTTATATGGTGGAGATGCAAATAAATTTAAATAAAAGAATGACTATAGTGTTTAAGTATTCAATATTCAAATTCTGTTAGCTAGAAACTTACTTCAATAATCCTATTACTTCAAGATTTGGAATATACATTTTCATCTGAAGTTAGTTTAAAGTACTTCTCTACCATAAGAATTTCATCTCAATTATAGTACATTTTTCCTGTGTATGGAGAGGAAATGAGTCTGAGAGCGAGGTGACAGTAAACAAAGAAAGCCAAAACCGAGACAGGTGAAATGCAAAGAGTGAGTGAGACTAACAAATATTTGAGCAGCATCAGCAGCAGTAGCAGCAGAGAAAAGAAATGAAATTCCCAAGAACAATTAAATATTTCGCATGGCTTCCCAAGGAAAACCCAGGAAAATGATGATGATGCTGGTTAGTCAAAGCCCAAGAATGCGCAGCGCGTGCTTCTCAACAAAATGGAATAATAATGATCATAACGATCGGATCAGATTGGGGGGCGGAAAAATGGGGGTGGTTTCGGCCTCCACAATGGATGGATGATCCTGCCATCTCTGCCACGTCTTTTGTAAAGTGCGGCGATCTTTGACTGACTCGACGGGGCACTCGAACTTTGCGAGGGTCAGAACTATAGAACAGTCAATGACATGTCGTTCGCGGACTCTTTCTGACTCAATTAATTCACCATCATATCAAAACTTATAAATTATATAGTCGCTCGCCCAGATATACCATAAATATTTAAATATATATGCAAAAAAACAGAGCAAGCGCTCATCATATAAATGCCTCAATAAAAACGTATAAATTCTGATTTTTCAGAGATTCTCGTTCTGCTCTTCTTTTTTTGCGATTTGTTATATTTGTGTGTGCCTTTTTTTATGGGAAAGAATTTCCGTTTTTCCCCAAAACGCTTCTTTCAACACTTTCGACTTTATTTGACATCGCTCGATCTTAAATATACACAAATTCTTGTAGAATCTTGGCGCCAAGAGATTGCTGCAATGCCACCCCCTCCTCATATTTGATTCAGTGAAAAGAGAAAACTTGGCCAACAGCATCAGAGTTTCCTTTTCTTAATTATTTTGTTCGCTTCCCCTGAGAAGTCCCCTTAAAAATCACACAAATACAAAACAGCGATTCATTCTTCGATTTCTGTAGAACTACGCAAGGTTTTCCTCTGAATAAATTCTATTCGAAATTGTCATCACAGAGTTTTATTTGTTTTTATTTTTATTTTAAGTACACTTTTCATCCTCAGCTGGCTACGTCCCCAAAATAGGCAACGAATCGCTCAGCGAGACTTCCCCCATTTAGCGGATGGATCATTCCAATGATTCAGATTAAATATGCATATATTTGTATGTATATATTGGCCATGCTGGGAACAACAATTAACAAGATCTTTGTGGCATCATTTTCGGCGAGGTTAAGTGGCCGTTAAAGTGCTTTCGGTCATTCTTTCAACTTATCGCACTTTTCTGGGAATATCTCATTAAAATTTCTTCGATTTCCCATTGGGGCTTGTGTATACTTTTAATTCGAATTCTTCCCGGTAGTAAAAGGCAATACTTTTGCACTAATAAAACTCATTTAAATATTTGGAAAATTCTGGGAGATTTGGAAATGTCAATAAGGTATTTATTGAATTTTGACAAAGAGTTACCCTGGAAATTATCACAAATTCCTACGTTTTCTTTATTTAAATAAAGTAAACCAGAAATAAATATTAATTTGAAGTTTATTTTTCTTCAAAACAAATCCTTCAAACAAGACATCCATCCTCTTTCGTAATTAGTCAAAGTACTTTTTATGGCTAAAGGAAATACACCTGTGATAAACAGTCATGATTTATTTATATCGAATGACAAAAACAAACTGGGAAAGTGCATAATATATTTATTTAAAAAATAAACAACTCACGCGCAGTAAACTTTCCGCGTAGTTTTCTACTAATTGATAAACAGAATTCTCTATTTAATTCCAGTTTATGATTTTCTATAAGCAAATATCAATTAAATTTATAGATGGCAAAATACATAAAAAAATGTGAAACATGAAATATAATTAGCCCGGAGAAAAACAACTTCTACGCACCTCTCTTGGTTTGTTCCGCCCATCGGCTTTTGTTTTATTTTCCGCTCATTTAGCAGGCAAAAGTGGCGAAAAACAAATACAAATTGCAATAACAAAAAACGAACCGAAACATGAATGAAAATCTATGAAATAAATAATAATTCTTAATGGCAAAGCGAACGCTCTTCTTTTTGGCTCTATTTCCCCTCTTTTTTTACCTTACAAGCGAGAAGCGTGTTGGGAAAACATGAAAAGGAAAAACAGCCGCCCACCGACCGCCTCTTCCTGCCAAAAAGAAAAACCCCTCCAAAACATAACAACTTAAACGCATTTGGTGACCTCCAAAATAGAAATGCTCGTAAATAAACGCCTAACCAAGGTATCGCAAAAAATTATTGTTAATCACTAACGAGACAGGGGGCAGAGGTCTCAAAAGGGGGGCCCTATAAATTCGGGAGTTCTTTCCAAAGCGTGCATGTTATTTGAGGCTATTACTACGCAGCAGGCAAATTAATCAAGCGTGCAAAAAATAATATAGGAACTGAACCAAATAGAACCGGACCGAGCACATACATGTGTGTATATAGAGCAGAAGAGCAAACATTTGCGCAAGTTTCAAATTTGACAACAATTTGTAGCACGAGAAAAATGATTGCGAGCTATTTGCGGAAAGTCGAACTGGATATACCCTCAGAACGAGGGCTTAAAGGTCTTAAATATGCATAAATTATATATGAACATGAATACTAATTGTATAAACATTCCAGAAATTTAGATCTGTTTGAAAACGTTCGCAGAAAAGAGGGAACATATGAATGTAATTTATTTGTCATTGAGTTGAAATGAACTTTAAATGATTTTAGTGTGGTTTTACTTTACCATACCACATAAAATAATTTAAAAAATATATAAGTTATATTATAAACCAGGTTTATTCACTAGTTTCCCTTATACCTTTGTAAACACAGAATAATGCAGATATGTTTATGTTATATATTTCCCTATTTTCAGAACTCATTTTAAATACCATACAATGTCTAAGTAAAGAGTATAAACATCGGAAGGAAGACAATGAAGGGGCGCTGATTTTCGGCGCATGGCTGACGCTGTCAATCTTGGTATCGGTGGGTAACCAATGGATCCAGTGGAGGAAATTGAAGAGAGACAGTATCCCCCATGCGTGTGTCTCGATTTCAGACTCAATTTGCTACTGCTGATGTTGCTGCTGCTGCCCAGCATGATGGAGGCGACGATATAATGGCTCTCGACTTTGTCGCAGAGGAAAAGTGGGTTCAAAAAAAAAAGAAGGGGCAGGCGGACGGCTAGCCACATGCGACTGATTTGTGTCCACCACCGTCAGCTTTGTCTAAATTAAGCAGCATTCTTGTTCTGCCAAGCTATTATACTGTCAGTGACTAGTACTCACCATTCCTTCTGTTTGTGTATCGCCTCGAAGCTGGCACCCTCAAAGTCATTGAGCACGTAAAAGGTACGCCACTCCGACTCTCCGATAATGTCCAGGCCCGTCTCCGAGGTAACGATGGGCAGTCCAAAGGATTCGGCTGCCTGCAGCGTGTCCGCGTCCTGGCCAACATTGCCCACCAGGCAGATGCGACTGGGCAGCGTTGTAATGGACATCTCTGGTCGAGGAGAAATAAAATATAAATTAGAAAAATTCGTTGTATGTGCTTTAATTATAATTGTAAAAAGGAAGCTAACTTCATGAAGCGGAAGTGGGTTAGCCTTGCATGTAGCCATTGGATAATGGGTTTGGATCTGCAATCGATCATAACTAAGCTACAAATGTTTTAATCTAAATTTGGAAAGCTTTTCTGTATTGACTTTTATTAGGATATTTATTTCATGATATTTGATTTTTAGTTGATTAACAAATCTGCATACTCAGTCTTCAAATTAAAAAATTATAAGGTATGAGTTCGAAAAACTTAAAAAAAAAATGGTCTGTTTTTATACCTTTTTCTCAGATATAATTTAAGTCAGAAACTAAAACTAGCACAGAAAACCTTTCCGAATAAAATTAATTCAATTTCGGCTAATTATGATGTCCGAAAAACTTTGATTTTTCTCAAAAATGTTCTGTTTTTATACCTTTTTGAAGAATATAATATAAGTCAGAAGCTTGAAACGTAAGAAGGAGTCATTTCCGACCCTATAAACCATAATATTCTTGATCAGCATCAAAAGCTGAGTCGATTAGCCATGTCCGGTCGAAAAATAAATTTTCTGAATTTTTCCGAAAATTGAAAATTTTATACATCATTAAAATTGCCAAAATTTGACAAATAATTGAATTTTTTAAATTTGAAAACTGAGTATGCAGATTTGTTAATCTGTTAAAAGTTAGCATAGAACAGCTTTCCGAATTAAAATTAATGAATATTTGGCTTAGTTATGAGTTTTAAAACTATGATATTCGGAAAAAATTGTCAGTTTTTATACCTTTTTGCGGGTTTTCATAATTTTAGTAAAAAACTGCAATAGCATCAAGAAACGCAGATGCAAATTTGTTAGTGCAATTAAACTAGCACAGAAAACCTTTCCGAATAAAATTAATTCAATTTCGGCCTAATTATGAGGTCCGAAAACTTGATTTTTCTCAAAAATGTTCTGTTTTTATACCTTTTTGAAGAATATAATATAAGTCAGAAGCTTGAAACGTAATGAAGGAGTCATTTCCGACCCTATAAACCATATATATTCTTGATCAGCATCAAAAGCTGAGTCGATATAGCCATGTCCGGTCGAAAAATAAATTTTCTGAATTTTTCCGAAAATTGAAAATTTTATAAGGGGTTACATCATTAAAATTGCCAAAATTTGACAAATAATTGAATTTTTTAAATTTGAAAACTGAGTATGCAGATTTGTTAATCTGTTAAAGTTAGCATAGAACAGCTTTCCGAATTAAAATTAATGAATATTTGGCTTAGTTATGAGTTTTTAAAACTATGATATTCGGAAAAAATTGTCCGTTTTTATACCTTTTTGCGGGTTTTCATAATTTTAGTAAAAAACTGGCAATAGCATCAAGAAACGCAGTATGCAAATTTGTTAGTGCAATTAAAACTAGCACAGAAAACCTTTCCGAATTAAAATTAATTCAATTTCGGCCTAATTATGAGGTCCGAAAAACTTTGATTTTTCTCAAAAATGTTCTGTTTTTATACCTTTTTGAAGAATATAATATAAGTCAGAAGCTTGAAACGTAATGAAGGAGTCATTTCCGACCCTATAAACCATATATATTCTTGATCAGCATCAAAAGCTGAGTCGATTAGCCATGTCCGGTCGAAAAATAAATTTTCTGAATTTTTCCGAAAATTGAAAATTTTATAAGGGGTTACATCATTAAAATTGCCAAAATTTGACAAATAATTGAATTTTTTAAATTTGAAAACTGAGTATGCAGATTTGTTAATCTGTTAAAAGTTAGCATAGAACAGCTTTCCGAATTAAAATTAATGAATATTTGGCTTAGTTATGAGTTTTTAAAACTATGATATTCGGAAAAAATTGTCCGTTTTTATACCTTTTTGCGGGTTTTCATAATTTTAGTAAAAAACTGGCAATAGCATCAAGAAACGCAGTATGCAAATTTGTTAGTGCAATTAAAACTAGCACAGAAAACCTTTCCGAATTAAAATTAATTCAATTTCGGCCTAATTATGAGGTCCGAAAAACTTTGATTTTTCTCAAAAATGTTCTGTTTTTATACCTTTTTGAAGAATATAATATAAGTCAGAAGCTTGAAACGTAATGAAGGAGTCATTTCCGACCCTATAAACCATATATATTCTTGATCAGCATCAAAAGCTGAGTCGATATAGCCATGTCCGGTCGAAAAATAAATTTTCTGAATTTTTCCGAAAATTGAAAATTTTATAAGGGGTTACATCATTAAAATTGCCAAAATTTGACAAATAATTGAATTTTTTAAATTTGAAAACTGAGTATGCAGATTTGTTAATCTGTTAAAGTTAGCATAGAACAGCTTTCCGAATTAAAATTAATGAATATTTGGCTTAGTTATGAGTTTTTAAAACTATGATATTCGGAAAAAATTGTCCGTTTTTATACCTTTTTGCGGGTTTTCATAATTTTAGTAAAAAACTGCAATAGCATCAAGAAACGCAGATGCAAATTTGTTAGTGCAATTAAAACTAGCACAGAAACCTTCCGAATTAAAATTAATTAAATTTCGGCTAATTATGAGGTCGAAAAACTTTGATTTTCTCAAAATGTTTTTATACCTTTTGAAGAATATAATATAAGTCAGAAGCTTGAAACGTAATGAAGATCATTTCCGACCTATAAACCATAATATCTGATCAGCATCAAAAGTGAGTCGATTACATGTCCGTCGAAAATAAATTTTCTGAATTTTCCGAAATTGAAAATTTTATAAGGGTTACATCATTAAAATTGCAAAATTGACAAATAATGAATTTTTAAATTTGAAAACTGATATGCAATTTTTTATTTTTTTTTTATTTTTTTTTTTTTTTTTTTTTTTTTTTTTTTTTTTTTTTTTTTTTTTTTTTTAAAATTATTTTTTTTTTTTTTTTTTTATTTTTATTTTTTTTTTTTTTTTTTTTTTTTTATATTTTTCAATTTTCGGAAAAATTCAGAAAATTTATTTTTCGACCGGACATGGCTATATCGACTCAGCTTTTGATGCTGATCAAGAATATATATGGTTTATAGGGTCGGAAATGACTCCTTCATTACGTTTCAAGCTTCTGACTTATATTATATTCTTCAAAAGGTATAAAAACAGAACATTTTGAGAAAAATCAAAGTTTTTCGGACCTCATAATTAGGCCGAAATTTAATTAATTTTAATTCGGAAAGGTTTCTGTGCTAGTTTTAATTGCACTAACAAATTTGCATACTGCGTTTCTTGATGCTATTGCCAGTTTTTTACTAAAATTATGAAAACCCGCAAAAAGGTATAAAACGGACAATTTTTTCCGAATATATAGTTTTAAAAACTCATAACTAAGCAAATATTCATTAATTTTAATTCGGAAAGCTGTTCTATGCTAACTTTTAACAGATTAACAAATCTGCATACTCAGTTTTCAAATTTAAAAATTCAATTATTTGTCAAATTTGGCAATTTTAATGATGTAACCCCTTATAAATTTTCAATTTTCGGAAAAATTCAGAAAATTTATTTTTCGACCGGACATGGCTATATCGATCAGCTTTTGATGCTGATCAAGAATATATATGGTTTATAGGGTCGGAAATGACTCCTTCATTACGTTTCAAGCTTCTGACTTATATTATATTCTTCAAAAAGGTATAAAAACAGAACATTTTTGAGAAAAATCAAAGTTTTTCGGACCTCATAATTAGGCCGAAATTTAATTAATTTTAATTCGGAAAGGTTTTCTGTGCTAGTTTTAATTGCACTAACAAATTTGCATCTGCGTTTCTTGATGCTATTGCCAGTTTTTTACTAAAATTATGAAAACCGCAAAAAGGTATAAAAACGGACAATTTTTTCCGAATATATAGTTTTAAAAACTCATAACTAAGCCAAAATTCATTAATTTTAATTCGGAAAGCTGTTCTATGCTAACTTTTAACAGATTAACAAATCTGCATACTCAGTTTTCAAATTTAAAAAATTCAATTATTTGTCAAATTTTGGCAATTTTAATGATGTAACCCCTTATAAATTTTCAATTTTCGGAAAAATTCAGAAAATTATTTTTCGACCGGACATGGCTATATCGATCAGCTTTTGATGCTGATCAAGAATATATATGGTTTATAGGGTCGGAAATGACTCCTTCATTACGTTTCAAGCTTCTGACTTATATTATATTCTTCAAAAGGTATAAAAACAGAACATTTTTGAGAAAAATCAAAGTTTTTCGGACCTCATAATTAGGCCGAAATTTAATTAATTTTAATTCGGAAAGGTTTTCTGTGCTAGTTTTAATTGCACTAACAAATTTGCATACTGCGTTTCTTGATGCTATTGCAGTTTTTTACTAAAATTATGAAAACCCGCAAAAAGGTATAAAAACGACAATTTTTTCCGAAATATAGTTTTAAAAACTCATAACTAAGCCAAATATTCATTAATTTTAATTCGGAAAGCTGTTCTATGCTAACTTTTAACAGATTAACAAATCTGCATACTCAGTTTTCAAATTTAAAAAATTCAATTATTTGTCAAATTTTGGCAATTTTAATGATGTAACCCTTATAAATTTCAATTTTCGGAAAAATTCAGAAAATTTATTTTTCGACCGGACATGGCTATATCGACTCAGCTTTTGATGCTGATCAAGAATATATATGGTTTATAGGGTCGGAAATGACTCCTTCATTACGTTTCAAGCTTCTGACTTATATTATATTCTTCAAAAGGTATAAAAACAGAACATTTTTGAGAAAAATCAAAGTTTTTCGGACCTCATAATTAGGCCGAAATTTAATTAATTTTAATTCGGAAAGGTTTTCTGTGCTAGTTTTAATTGCACTAACAAATTTGCATACTGCGTTTCTTGATGCTATTGCCAGTTTTTTACTAAAATTATGAAAACCCGCAAAAAGGTATAAAAACGGACATTTTTTCCGAATATATAGTTTAAAAACTCAT